AGGCGTTAGTGCTGCAGGACACCAGGAGCTTTCAGAAGGAACGAGGGGCTAGTGATTTCAGCTGCCCAGAGAGAAGTGAGATAAGAACTTAGGAATTCCACTGGGTTTGGTAGTTAGAGGTCATTAGTGACCTCTGACTGAGTAGTTTCAGTTCAGTGATTTGGGCAGAAGCCAGACTGTAGTCATTTGAACCAAGTGGGAAGTGAGGCGGGAGCTATGTGAGAACTGGGCTGCCAAGGGAGACTGTAGATCTGAGCTGGGTGTAGATTCCTTACTCAAGTTTTAAAGATGGGACAGACCTTGTATGCCCAATTTTGATGAACCAATAGATGGAGAAGCTAAGACAGGAAAGGTGGATAGTTGGGACAGGGTCCTGGGTGGGTGAGTCATACATGGCATTTTGGAGGGTTGTGTTTGAGGGTAGTGGGCTTGGGGCAGCTCTGACCTCAAACAGGAGGGGTAGCTCTTCAGTGGGACTTCAGATAAAGGAAAAAGGACAGCATAGAGTCTGAGAGGTCTGACCTGGGCAAGAAGATGGGGAGGGAATGCCTCCTTCAGGCCACAACCTATAGTTTCTACTTCAGGCACATCTCTAGACACATTTGAAAGATTCCTTCTGTGGTGGGAAAGCATTGGCACAAGAGGAGAAATACCTCATGTAGGACAGAAAAGAAAAATGATATTGCAGAACTTTCTCCATTGACAGTGAATACCCTTTCCATTGTATTTCTTAGAAATGCTCTCCTTCCCGTTTATTTAAAACAGTCTGTATTAGTATGACACAGTTGTCAGTGGTGCCTATTTTGTTCTGAAAGCTTCTGTGGTTTATAGAGTATATATGTCCTAAAAACAAACCCAAAACACCTATTTGTGGCTCATGAGGTACTCTTTATAACTTGATGGACCTACCCCAATTTACAGAATGTATGTATGTTTTATAGTTGGTTAACTCTGTTGCCTCTGAATTGTTAGATACTAGATTCAGTCTATTGTGAAGTAAACATACCTTTGTTTCATACCAGAATAGTAGTTTCAAGTGAGATGTGATATTTGCATTTTATCAAAGTAAAGAGTGAACACTGACCAGCTGCCTTGTCTATCCAATGAACAGAGTTCTACCAGGATTGACAGGCCTCAGGTGAGTCTCTGATTGGAATGCCGCAGGAATCTCCAGCAAATTTAACCTAGTCACTATGCCTGCTAAACGTAAGCAGTTACAGAATCTGAATTTAAAATGCAGAAAGCTTGTGAATGCTTTTGGGTATTGGACACCAGAAGGTCTATCAAGGCTGACAGTGTTTTAAGTTTGAAAAGTTTTACTGTGCTTGTTCCTGGGGTTTCAGTAGGTTGACTCAATAGCATATATCGGGAAGTCTCAAAGAAGGGAGAAACTGAGGTTAGAATTAGGAAGCTTTGTAGTGCTCTAGGTGAAAGTAGTAAGAGCTGTTGGGAAGAGGGGGAATCTGTTGGAAAGGATTTAGGATGGATTTGGAGGGTCGGAGGTCCTGAGGCTTGAATGGGATGGTGTGGGCTCCCTTGCTGGAGACGGGGGACTAGTGAAGCCAGGCTGCCCACTGGATAAGGGTAGAGTTGCTTTCACTCACCCTGGTCTGCTGCTAGCTCATCCATTAGGTGTTAGAGATGAGGCTTTGATTATGACTGAGAAGTCAGAGTGTGTGGTGCTGGATCTGAATCCTCATTGGTTCAGAGCTGAAACTACGATCAAAGATGAGCAGAAAGGTGGGGCACAGTAAAAGGAGGTCATCTGCATCTGGTGTGCAGGACTGGCCAGAGAACCAATAGAACAGCCAGGGCAACTCCACAGAAAAGAAAACTGGAGCTCATTTGAAAACCACCCAAAGCAAAGCGCTGTGGTTTGTCTGAGGAGGTTGGCTCAGACTACATGTATAGACAGGTTGTAGCAAAGTGGGTAAGAGCACAGACTACCAATGTGAGTCTTAGGATGTGAGTCTTGGCGCCAGTATTTGCAGGTGAGGTGATGTTATTGACAAGGTATTTGTCCTCTGTACCTCAGAGATTGATTTTGTGGATTAGAAGCAATCAGGCATCCAGTCTTGCTAATAAGTCAGTGTTCAAATGGCAACAGTCAGGGCAATGAGATCTCTCTTTGCCCACTATCTGCAGAGTGTGGTTTTTATTTATTTTTTTGAGGTGGGATCTTGCTGTGTTGTCTTTGCTGGATTCAAATTCCTGGCCTCAAGATTCTCTGGCCTCAGCCTCCAGACCAGCTGGGACTACAGTTATACCTGACTATGCCAGGTGAAAGTTTGGGTTTTGATTATGAGGAAGTTATTCTGATAATATTGTTTAATTTTAGGTAAGGTTATCCCTTAACAGACTTACTACAGTTTGAATTGGATTCTGATGTATTTTCATAAGCTTATTCCTCAGACTTTATTCCTGGATCATGGTATTTAAAGAATACTTAGGGTTTACTTAGTAATTGGTCCAAGAAATTCTATGTATTCTGTGCCCCTCTTTGAGATTTCTAATGTTTATTGTTATTAATATTCTGACTTAAAAAGAAGTTCAACCCCAATATTTCCTAAACCTTGTAGGCCATAAAATTTCCTTTTATATGTTTATACATTAAAGTTTGTGAACTGGAATTTTGTACATTTTAGTATTTCTCTCTCTTTCTCTCTGTCTCTCTCTCTCTGCCCCCCTCTCTCTCTATCTCTGTCTCTTGCTCTCTTGACATTTGTCTCCCTCCTTCTATATGTGTGTTTGTGTATGTCTTTGAGATAGGTTCTCATATAGCCCAGGCTGGCCTTAGACTCATGATGTAGATAAGGATGGCATACTCTTGCCATAGCCTCCTAAGTACCAGAATTGCAGATATGTGCCTCCACACCTTGTAACTTAGGTTTTTTTTAATGGACTTTTATTTATTAAGAAAACTTAACTTATGTTATAATTCAGTGTGCTGGAGAGCTGGTTCAGTGGCTAAGAGCATTGACTACTCTTGCAGAGGATCTGGGTTTGATTCCCAGAACCCACATGGTGACGTACAACTGTCTGCAACTTCAGGCTCAGACAATCTAACATCTTTTTCTGCCCCTGGTCACTGCATGTGCATGGTGCACAGGCATAAATAGAGACAAAAACACCCATACACATAAAATAAAGATTAAAAAAGTATATAACTCAGTGATCAACACATGTACCATTTTAGGCTATTACATGCTTTTAAAACCTGCTCACTGTGATGTGCTATTATCATCTTTTATCTAATTGCATAGCATTTCATCAGCCCTGGAGAACTCCCTTCTTAATTAGCAGTCACTCCCTATCTCATCCTTCCCTGACAACCAGTAGTCTAGTTTCTGTCTGTATAGATTTGCTTATTCTTGGTATTTTATAGACGTAGAATCACGTGTCACTTTTCCTATCTGTCATTTCTCACTCAGCAAAATGTTTTCAGGGTTCTTCTATGTTTCAGCCTTTATTAGTCTGTGTTTGTTTTAGTGGCCGAGTAGTATTCCAGCAGTGGCTCCCCCACATTTGTTTACCCACTCGCCAGCTGCTGGAATGTTGCTTATCTCTGCATTTTGACTGTTAGGAGCAGAACTGCTGTGAATATTTGTGGGAACATGTGTCTCCATCTCCCTTAGGTTCACATCTAGGGTGAATGCTGGGCTTTATGGCAACTCTGTCTTTAACTTCTGGAGAAACTGCCACACTTTTCCAAAGCAACTGGATACTGTTGTACACTTCCAGCAGGGTGTGTGGGTTTTGATCTTGCCACATTCTTGCCAGCTCTAATTACTTTGCCTTAAAAAATAATTTATTTTATTAAAGTCATTCTAGTAGCTGTGACTGGTGGCTGAGTGGATGTGAGGTCTTTTTCCATCTTTTTTTCCCCTCTCCTTTCTCATTAACTTTTTTTCTTTCTTTCTTTCTTTTTTTTTTTTTTAATGAGTCTTAAAATATGTAACACGGTTTTGGTCAAGTTCTTTCCATTAATAAGCACTGAGTAAAAACAAACAACAGTAATGACTCAAAGCTTCCGTATACCTAGAAACATGTGTCCACACAACATTGTTTCTTCCTGAAGCTTTTTCCATACTCATCTTTTATGGGATGTTCTCTTTTCACTGACTAGGTACCAAGTGTCAGGGATGATGTTCGACCTGTCCCTGAGGCACCTGGGCAAAGTTGATGGCCTTCCCAACTCTTGTGCTTCTTGAATATAGTCAAGGAAGCTTCTTAACAGGCAGCCTTGATGAGGACCTTACCAATGATGACAGCTGTGCCAGCTTTCAGCTTCGTAGCCGAACAGCAGTGAGCCTTGTCTTCAGCACACTCTCAAGCAGTGAGCTGTGTGAGGCTGGTAGACGGGGGGAAGCTGCATGGATTTAGTTTGTATGGCTCGGGATAGCTGCTTCCAGTGACAGGTCTCGGTTTTCTTCTTCTTGTTTGCTCTTATTTGTAGCACTGCCTGGAAAAACATGTTTAATGAACAGCTCTCTCAAGAGTAGCTTCACTCAAAGCATGTGGTGCATCTCACCACATTTCACTTGTGACATGGACTGGAGAAAGGCAGCCACTGCACTACATTTGAGAACTCTAGTTTCCGTCAGTTCACAGGGAGCATAGCAATACCACCAGTATTGTAAACATTCTGGAAGGGCAGGCACAAAGGCCTGTAGTTCTACAAGCTGGTGGCAGGATTCAGTCTGTGCCTCAAGTGTGTGGTTCCACTGGCATTGCCACCTCGTGAGTGACATTCCGTCCTGTGAACAAAGGCATGTTAGCACTTGACCTAGACCAGGAATTTGGCACAAATGCTCACTATGAAGGTTGTAGTTCATTTTCTTAGTGTGAGTGCTGCCTTACTAAGCAAGAACTTTGTCCCTCTTCTGGCTGCAGGGACCAACAATTAGTTGTTTCATACCGAGTATATAAGCTAGAAGGTATGCACATGGGTCTGCTAGCCTGTTTTTTTTTTTCTTTCATTTTCATTTTTTTCTTTTTCATGTCAGACAGGTAATGTGACCATATCATAACAAGGTTTATGCACAGCACATATGGCGCAATGGTGTGAACACCCAGTCATCATGCTTTATGAACCAGAAAGGATCAGCCTTTTTTTAAAAAAACAAAACAAAACAAAACAAAAAACCAAAAAAAAAAAAAAAACCCCAAAAAACCAGGTTTCTCCATGTAGCCCTGGCTGCCCTGGAACTCCTTTTGTAGACCAGATGGGCCTCAAACTCAGAGGTCCACCCGCCTCTGCCTTTCCATTGCTTTTTGAGAGACCATCTTTAAATTTACCAACATCAGTGACAACAATCAAGGCAGCATACGTAGTCTGTGCTGATGCACCTGCCATTACATTTAATATAAAAGTCTATGCCCTAGGGTGTTGCAGTCGATATTAGAAAAGGCGGCTTGGCCCCACTTGCTCCTGGCTGCCACCATGTTCCTGTTCTATGTTACTGCTCTAACCACAGCACCGGCTGGCCAGGAGCAAGATGTTGGCATGGCTGTTGTAAGCATGGCTTTTGGGCCAACTCTGCCACCCTTATAGTGCTTGGCTCAACCCCATCCTCGCAGTACCTGGTAGGAATAGGACTCTTAATTCTTAAGATTATCCAATGGATTTATATATTAGCAAATGCTCAACACACAAGAGAATTGTTAGAACTAGAATTGTTAACCCAATTAGAATTGTTAACCTAATATCTAACCTCTTGACATGAGTAACTACCCGAGACTCCTAGAGACATGTATGTCTGCCTCTATCTTGCTTTTCTTTTTCCTTTCTCCTCCTTCTTCCTTTCTCCTTCCTTCCTCCTCCCAACTCCTAGCTCCACCTACCTACCTCTTCTACTGCTCAGTCATAGAGATCCGCTGCAAATACAGTGGGCAGGAAAGGTCCTGCAATATGAGGGCATCAGTGCGAGTCATTTCATACTTGCAGGTCTCAGATGTCCACAGATGTCAATGGTGATAGCTGCTCATGCTCGGCCCTCACTTCGTCTTAAGTCCCAGACATAGTCAAAGGATCCCCTTGCCCAGCTCAGCTGCCTACTTTACAAGCTTTAAGATCTTGTTTTTACATTTTATTTTATGTGTTTGAGTGCTTTGCTTGCATATGTCTTATACACCACACATGTGCCTGGTGCCCAAGGAAATCAGAGGAGGGTGTTAGATAACTTGGAACTAGAGTTACAGATGGTTGTGAGCTGCCATGTGGATGCTAGAAACTCAGTCTTCTGCAAGAATAGCAAAGTGCTCCTAATCACTGAGCTCTCTCTAGGACCATGCTTCACAGAATTTTAAATGTTTTCTTTTCATCCTACTGCGTTTGCAGACCAGCTGGGCTGTAAGGCTAGACTAGCCTGCATCTACATGTCCACTGATGCTATTATTGGTAGATGGATCTCCTCCTTTCCCATTTCATTTAGAGAGTTTTCATGATGTCTGTGTTCTGGTAGCAAATCCACTGCAAAAGCCTTAGAGTTGTGTGTGTGTGTGTGTATTTAATGAAATCTCTCTATGTTGCCTGTTATGCTACAGGACTTGAACTGCTGTGCTCCTCCTCCCTCAGCCTAAGTGCTTGAGACTAACTGAGATTACGAGGTCATGCTACAATACTTAGTGTGGGTTGTTGTTGTTTGAGACAGTCTCTATTTAGGCCAAGCTAGCTTGAAACTGGATGTGTAGCCCAGACTGGCTTCCAGTTTACAACTCTTCTGCCTCAGTCTCCTGAGTGCTGGGATTACAAGCCCACATTATGGTTTTAGTTTGTTATATACTTCACATACCTCATATGTCAGAGCACAACCACCAGCTTCACTTTTAGAGAACTGGTCCTGTGCAGACCTGAGTGCACAGGAGACTTCTCAACCTGAATTCCAGTTCCACAGTTTTTCATGTTAGTGTTAGGAATTGGGGTCATTTTAGACTAAAAACATAAATGATGTAGGCTTCCAAATATTATTATTTCATGTGTGATCGCAGTCTGTATGATCACTTCTCAACTTAGCTAAATCTTTTCTGGAGAAATATGCATTACATTGAGTTTACCATAGTAACCATTTAGAGTGTGCATTCCTGCACATTATGTGCATTTTGTACACTTATATTTTGTAACTGTCACCTCAATCCTCCTGCAGAACCTTGTTATTTTTCAGCCCCGAAACTTGGTCCCTATTAAACACTGAAGTTTTTGCTCCTCTTTTAGCACTTAGCAACCATCCTTCTACTTTCTGTCTCTACGAATCTCATCTTAGGTACCTTAGGTAAGCACAGCGATAGAATCCATCTGGGTTTACCTTGCTTCACTTAAGTTCTTCATAAGATTCATCTGTGTGGTGATATCAAAACGTCCTTCCCTCCTAAAGACTGAGCAATATCCAGTCATAGGTCTTAATGTAATTTGCTTATCCATCCATTAATGGACCTTTAGGTTGTTGTCACCTTGTGATTTTTGGGACTATGACGCTGTAAACAAAAATGTCTGTTTGGGTCTCTGCTGTTAAGTCTTTTGTATTTTATCTTTCAGTGAAATTATTTGTATCAAATGATCTTTCCGTGTTTAGTTTGAATTCAGTTTGAACTTTGTTCGTTCCATTTACTTTGTGTATGTGAGAGAGGTACATAGGAAGATAAGTCTGCATGCGCTTTCCCATGGATCATATTCTAGGTGAAACCAGTGTGGCAGTTGTAGAGCTCAGGCTTTGTCTGCTGGGTCGAACTCAGCCTTGGCTTCTCAGTGTCCTAGAGCAGTGTATAGGAAGAACCAGATCAACTGCCACCATCTCCACAGAGCTAGGTGCAGTAACAAAAGGAAGACCATGTGAATCTCTCTGAGTACATGGTTTTTCCTTTGGTTGTTAAAGAAATACAATTGAACAGATTTCAGTAATCTATAATTTGGGTTGTTAGGTTTCATTTTAGTGTAGATTGTAGAGAATTGGCAACAGATCCTGGAGGGATAGAACTGGTATTTTTGAACTGAATTTCTAACAGAGACTACAACTAGAAAGCTAAAGTATATAGAATGAAAATTCTTACTCATTGCCATGGCTATAATTTAAAAGTGTTTGAAACTTTTATTACTTTATAGATTCAAATGCATTTGCTATCTACAAGATGTAACTAAGCCTTGAAGTCTTTTTCTGTGAAGTACAAACTCTCATAAGAAAGTATTGCCAGAATGGGAGTAAATAGGAATTAACTGTTAGCTGTGCCTTGCTAGCCCAAACTAATTTCTTCCTAGCAGTTTTGTCTCCCAGGGCAGAGGCTGGTCATCTCACACTGTGTAATTTAGCACTTACTATAATTGCTTATGGAATGGATGTTTTAGGCACTGACTGAGTATGTTCTTATGGATGAGCATAAATACAACAATACAAAGGGAAGCATCTCTTGTATTTCCAATTAGACTAAGGATGTGGCCAAGAACAGGGAAATCACCACAAAGCAGAGACCAGAGAGATCTGAATGGTCCATTGTAGCACGTCAAACTGTTTATGAATTTCCTTGATAGTTTGGCTTTAGTTGGCAATATACTTTTTTTTTCTTTCCTTTTTCTTTTTTCTTTTTTTTCTTTTCTTCTTTTTTTTGTTTTTAGCAAATGTTGAGGCATTAAAGTTGTAGAGTGCCAAGAGGCATATGATTCTAAAACGTTTCATTTGTTGGGTGTTTTGCCTGCATGTCTTTGTCTTCTACTTGTGTGCCTAGTGCCCAGATGCATTTCCTGGAACTAGAGTTACAGACAGTTGTGAGTGACCATGTGGGTGTTAAGAACTGAACTCAGGTCCCTGACTGTCCTGGAACTCACTGTGTATACCAGGATGGCTCCAGCTCACAGAGATCTGCCACCTCTCGCTTATTTTTTAATTCTTAAAAATTGCTTTTAATACATTGTGTGTGTGTGTGTGTGTGTGTGTGTGTGTGTGTGTGTGATGATAACTTGCATGGTTAATTTTCTCCTTCTGCCATGTATGTCCCAGGGCCTTTACCTTCTGGGTCATATTTGTGTACTCTTCCAACCCCAAAAGACAAGGTCTCTTTGGGTAGTCTTGGCCGGCCTGGAACTCACTGTGTAGGCAGGATAGTCTTGACATTTTATTGCATTCCTACTTCCCCTGCCTCCTGAGTGTTGGTTTTAGAGGTGTATGTCACCACACCTGGCTTGAAGTGTTAATGTAAAGTTATAAAGGAATATAGAGATATGAGTATACAGTGTTTATGAAAGACAAAGGCAAGGAGTTATCCTGTGTTGTGGGAACTCTTTCCTCAGGAGATGTAGACAGATGTCTTGCTCTTTATTATAGGGGCTCCTACAATAGACCAAAGTATGATTGTACTAACGTTAATCAGGCCTGTGTACAGGGCATGATCAGGGAGTCACTTACAGGAGCAGAGGAGCCGCACCACCCATGATCTCGCACTATGGAGAAGGATGAGTTTTGTGAAGTTGCTTAGATGGAGTCTCCCTGTCAGCTAGCCTTCCACTGTGTGGACTCGAGCACCTTCTGAGGCCACACAGCCATGTGCAGTTGGGGCAGAGTCTCACTCAGCAGAAAGGGGGTGGGGTGGGATTAAGATGGGAGGAGCCTTGTTTCTGCTTTCACCTCTTCCCTCCTGGCCTTGCTGTCCCTCCACTTCTTACTTTAACTACAGGCAACTGGAACCAGTAGAAGGTTTGAAAACCTGAGTGGCGTCAGAGACATCTTTGTCCATTTTTTGGTCACGTAGAGGATGGATTATAGGGCAGATTCTAGAGAGATGATTTGAAGGTGGTTGTAGTCCAAGCAGGAAACAGAGCTGAGCTTTCCCTTTGTGACTCCATTTACATCAAATGTGAGCACAGCAGATCCTTAGATCGTAGCAGTTACTTGGAGCTAGTAGGGGGTATAACAGGGAGTTATTACTCATGTATGTGGGGTTCCTCTTTGAGGCTCTTGAGTTCATAGTACTAAAACCCACCAAATTATATTCTTCAAAATGTTGAGTTAGTCTGCATCCATGCTGCCCTGAACACACCTGGTTGTCTTTAAAAATGGTATTACCTTTGATGCTTAAATTATATCTTACTTTAAGAGGGAAGGGTAGGGATGGAGGCCACAGGGAACAGGTGGAGACCCTGAAACAAGCAGAGTTCAAGACAGTGATAGCGAGTTTAAATATTGGCAATATTGAAAATCAAGTAGAAGCTGTTTCTCAAGTTCTTAGTCTGTACAATTGAAATGCTAAGAAATTAAGGAACAGAGCAAGTTTGGGGAAGTAAGTAGTGAGCTGTGTACTAAATGTGTAGTCAAGGCAAGCAGCTGAAGATAATGGCCCTGACTTCAAGACGTGAGGCTAGAGAGAAAGGGGAATGGATGAACGTTGATTGAAGTCAGGCAAACTTGTTAAAAATGGTATTTTCTTTTTCCAACCTCCTTGGAAGATATGTCCCATTGTTCCTTGTCCTCAAGTCTGGTATGTAAGTACTTTTGTCATCTTTTTGTAAAACCAAGGTTTATGTTACTTTTCAGGCAGAAGCAAGGCTAGCAGCAAAGCGGGCCGCCAGGGCAGAAGCAAGAGACATCCGCATGAGGGAACTGGAACGACAGCAGAGAGAGGTAACAGAGGCTGCCTTAGCTGGTGCATACGTACGTGCTGCATGTGTGCAGTGTATCGGGGTGAGGGGAGGAAATGATGAAGGAGAAATCTCACGGTCTCAGACCTCCATTTCCAGGGCAGGAGTACAGAGGGCTTTTGTGAGACACAGGCATTATAGTGAGGTAGTGACAGGGAAATCCGCATGATGAACAGACTTCCTCAAGGTGCAGTCTCCTCCCCCAACACAGGTCTGGGTTCTGCCTTCCTAGGTGAGCAACTGCTTTTTCCTTTTAGATAAACCAGTTCAGAATGAACACAGAGAGAGGAGGGGACATTGCAGAACATATATGAAAAAGATGGGTTGTTAAAACTACAGGGGCCCAGGGTGCAAAAGTAAGGGCCCTTTATTTCACTTCATAATTCCAATTCTCTGCCTTCACAATAATCAATTTAGTGAGTCTCTTCTGGACATTTTCCTATGTTTTCTGACTTATAATATAAACAGTCTTTGCCTGCATTGTTACTATGCTCACCGTCAATCCTATTTCCATAGAATGGAGGGAGACACCTCCATAATAGATCCTTGTGCTAAATGGGGAAGTTTTGAAATGGAAGGTTTTACATGAGATGTGTGCAGGTCCAGGCAGAAACATCACAGTGAACCCTGATCTCCCCAGCTAGCTAGCTGAATCCTCATGCTTACCATTTTGAAGGATATTTGGTAAGGTAGGGAAATGTTCATGTAAGAATATGTGGGAAACCCCAAACTATAAAATTAGTAGGATACCCCAACACAAAAAATAAGACAACCAGTGCCTATATCTAGGGTCAGAAAGAACTGGTTTCATCAGTACCTTGGTTTGTTGTATGGAATTATAATGGGTTTCATTATGTTCTGTAGTTTACAGATTTATATTATGCTTTTGTCATCAAAAAAGTGGAAAAAAGTAAAATGGGTAAATGGAACTGACCTAACATAGCATACTTGTTAACCTTTCTCTCTGACATGGACTTGAGTCTGAAAACACTCACAATAATGTTTTAATATTGTATTTACAAAGGGAAAAACATTCGTGGAGGAGTAGAGAACAATTTATTTTGATGTTATTAGTTGATTTTCTATTGATAAGTTAAAAAAGAAATTTATATATTTGTGTTCTATGTTGATGTAATTTTCTCCCTTAGATACGGCTTCAAATATTGGCTGCAGTTCTTGGTTTGGAATGCAATGTTCCAATGCATTGTCTTTGTACTCTTAAGGTTACATGAAGTTATAAATAGAAGAGATAGCTATTAATAGAAGTTCTATCTATGCAGAGAACCATGTATCTTTTTGTTACTGAACATACTAGTTTATTAATTTCTTGTATTTTCAAAATATAGCTTTGAGTCTCCTACTATTGTTGTCTAGGGCAAGTGTGTGTGACTGAGACTTTTTTGGAGAATGGAGTGAATTGAAAACCACTCAGCTCATAAAACTTTTGTGTTTATAGCCTTCTCATCATTCCTTTGACCGGAAATGGGGACAGATTCACAAGTGGCTGGTAGGCCAGGATTGCCTGCCCTGCATGCTGTGATAACTGCTGAACTAATGCAGCCTGGAAGCAAAACATTGACTAATGGTTTGCGAAGTAGGCGATGTGTTCTGTGTGGGGCTAAAGGTCACAGAGGAGCTGTTCTGTCTGTAGTGGATCAGATGGATACTGGAGTCCAGCATTTTCTTTTGTAATCAATAGATTCTCTTTCAACTCATGAAAGCCCCAGATGAAGAAAGGTTGGGTAAATGGATGTATGTTTTCTTTGAATGGGTTTGCTCCCCCCCCCCTCCCCCAGTTCCTGCTTCCTCCTCTCATTCTCCATCTTTAAAAGTTCACTCAGGCTTTCCATGGGAGGTAACCCTAGGTCTTAGCCCATGTCTTCTGAATTCTGTTCTGATTTCATCTCTTAGCTCTTTGTCAAGTCCTCTACTCCCATTGCAGACTTTTAGCTACAAAAGCAAATGACATGAGCCAGTAGAATACTAGTTGGCAACCATGAACTTTTTTCAAGTTCAGTTATTTTCTAATCAGGATTATTAATTTGATATGTAACTAGCTTGAAAGGTGTGGTATACGAAGCCCAATAATATTATGCAAATACTTGAAAGTGTATTTTTATGGGAAATGTTGATAGGTTTATTAATCACCAGATTCAAAGAGAAGTTTCCCAGAGAGTTTAGGAACATTGTCTCAGCCACTGCTCAAACATCACCGTCCCAAACAAGTGGCCTGTAGAGCAACACGTTAAGGAGCAGCCGTCCCTCCATGGTCCGCCGTGCTGACCTTTGTATTTAACCCTTCATTGTGATAATCAGCTTAGACAACTGAAAAAGATGATTGGCAGTCTGAAGGGAGTGGCTCCTCATGTGTGTGTTTGCTGTTTTGGAGTGCGATCTGTTCTTTGTAACTGAAAGTAGTATAATTAATTTTATCTAATACATTTTCTGCATGGGTCATAGTAATACACGAAGAAGAGTATTTTGTTTGAATAAACAAAATCACTTAATTTTACATATAGATACTTTAATTTGTTGTTTTAACTAAGCATTTTAATTCTAAAATAGCTTAATGTTTTAGTAGCTTAGGTCAAACTAGAAAAATTAAATACAAATAAAAGCATATATTAAAAACCTGATACTTGTCTGTTCAGGGGCTGTGAAGATAATCATTTAAAAGAGTCATCGATTTGTGTGTATCTTAACTCGTGAGAGTACTAGACTTATGAGGTTTTTGGATGGAGGCCTAAAGTGCAGTTGGTGGTTGACCTGAGTCTTGACTGAGAGTTAGGACAGGGCATACATAGAAGGCAGGGTTTGGTTCAGATGGGAGTAACCACACCGCACTCCTGCTATGCTGTTTCCTTCTTCCAAGTGGAGTCTCCTATTCCCTCTTGCCTCATTCTCGCTCCCTTGTTAGTGAGCCCACATGGCTATGTGATATTCTTGATATAAACTCTAAGTGGTTAATAAGTTTTTAGTGAAATCTATAGCACTTAATCACAAATAGGACTGTTGATAGATGATTCTTTCCATGTTAAATATTTCCCTTGATTCTAACTCTTTTGTGTGTGTGTGTGTGTGTGTGTGTGTGTGTGTGTGTGAGATTGGCTTGCTGGGAGGTGACTGGGGAGCATTAGAACAGGAAGTTCAGGAGTGAAGGAAGCTGCTGGGTGTAGCTTTTCCCTCACTTTACTGTAGGGGCACTTGCCAGTTTAATATATGGGCTTTTGTCAACTGGAAACAGTCTAGAAGTACCTGGGAAGAAGGAATCATTATAGCTGAGGAATTTCATCCATCAGATTGGCCTATGGCCATGTCTATAAGGCATTTTCTTAATTACTAACTGATGTAGAAAGGTCCAGCCTACTGTGGGTGGTGCCCTAGGTAGATGGGCCAGGCTGTATAAGAAAGGTAGCTGAGCAAGCCAGAGGAGGCAACACAGTAAGCAGTGTTCCTCAAGGGTCTCTGCATCAGTTCCTGCCTCTAGGTTCCTGCCCTGACTTCCCTCACTGATGAACTGTAACCAGTAAGTCAAATAAACCTTTCTTCCCCTAACTTGGTTTTGGTCAGTGTTTTATAAATCATAGCAACAGGAAGCAAACTAGGACAAGAGAGGAACAGGTAGAGATTTAGTGACTGACACTGGCAGAGTCAGAGTCAGAATGTGAAGGAGGAAGGGGAGCCAGCACTGGTGCAGAGGTGAAGCAGGTTAAGGGGAGGGCCGTGTCCTCCTGGGTTTCCACACAGTCCTGTGCAGCCAGCTGGCCATTTCTCATGATTCTTATTTCAAGTTGTATGCTTCAGTCAGCAGCCTTTGTGTGGCTGGAAGAGTAAATGCTGTTTCTAGGGTTTCCTAATTTGAAACTGAAGGAGCAACTCCAGTGCCAGCTTAATAATATTTGTAGACAGAGAAGACAGCCAGGCTTGCTCTTGGGGCTGTGGTTTCCTTTTACTGAAACCACTTCTCCTCACTTAAATGAACTTTTAAAAAGAGTGTGTTTTAAATTGATTAACCCAATTTGAATATAATAAGATAAAGTTCCAGAAAGTTTTGCTTTGAAGTTTTTATACTTTATTAGTTCTTATAAGAAACTTAGTCATCATAGAGAACATCATTGCAGAACCTTTTCTCCATCTGTATTTTACCCCTATCAACTACTGGCTTTTTATCCACGACTTTAAAATTTTAGAATACTAGGGCTGCACTCAGAACAGGCGGAAACTCTGTCTCTGAGCTTTATTTCCAGCCTGCTTTTTACTTTTTGAGACAAAGTCTAGGTTGTCCTTCTGTCTAAGTTGAAGAAGTCTGTTGGTTGTGACCTTCCTAGTGTGGGTGCTTAATTTGTCATTCATGAGAGTTGCCAGTCCTCAGTCAGGGAGGAAAGAACTCCCAAAAGTTTGGACTGAATATGTCCCTGTCATTTAAATCTTGTCACGCTTGGGTTGCTCAGCCCTAATAAGGCTACCCAGGATTATGACAGCGATTGTTTCTCATGACTTCTCAAAGAAGAGGAACACTCTGCTTTGTATTATAACATTGAGAAGACAGTTTGCTGTAATCTGTTTGTTACTGGTTCTGTTACTTAAGGAAGAGACACTGGGTGTTATTGTAGTACTATAGATCTGACCTGGATGATGCAGAGGGCTGTTCCTCTATGGAAGAGAGGCCCTGAGTTTGTTGTTTCTGTGTAATTGAGGCACAGCAGGGTGGATGTTGTATTTATGGTTCTGTGGTGTGCTGAGTCTGTGGATCTAAATGCTGGCCCCAGCTGTGCTCTTTAGCTTTCTGGGAGATAACTTTCTATCCTGAAGATGAGGGATGTGTTCTGCAGATGTGTTTTCATTTGTTTGCTTTAGATACAGGTCTTAACTATGTAACCCTGAATGGCCTGAACCCACTTTGTAGACCAGGCTCATCTCAAACTCACAGAGATCTGCCTGCCTCTGCCTCCTAAATGCTGGGATTAAAGGAATGTACCAACACATTTGGCTAGATGTGTTGTCTAAAAGTGCTCTTCTGTGGTTGGTAAAATGGAAAGGAAAGAGAGTAAAGAGAAGTTTAGATATTCAGCTTGAATATCAGCTTGGTATCCCAAATGACACCAGTGGGCATGTAAAATTAATATCCCTATGTAACACAAGGGTTTCTAATTAGTTTGGAATCTGTTACCACTTAGCATTCTGTGCTCTGCTGTGCTAACTCACAAACTTGTCTCCAAAACTTGTGGTTCACTTACAGAAAGTTGAAATCAATGATTCATACCTAGAGATCACAACCTTGTTGGAAATGAGTCACAAATCATCATGTTATCTTTAAACAGAATTTAGGACATGTATTATCAATTTAGCAGTATATATAGCGGGTGTCAAAAGATGATTTTTAAAAAAACTGTACACAAAAACTGAGACTGAAATGAAGGAATAAACTGGCATTTTGTTTGGATTACTATTTGTGTTGCAATGGATAGCCAGAGATAGCCCCATCTGTGTTCATTGGCATAATGGTCTAGTTGATTACTGTAGGGCACGATAGCATCGTATAATTTTAGAAGATAGCATTGCCATTGAAAGGCAAGCCTACCTAGACTAGTTAGTCATAGTGCAAATTACTTTAACAATTTAGACCTTAAAATTCTGAAAAATCAGAAATTCCTTGTGGTCACAGGTGATCATATTTTGGGTACTAGCTATTTGATACCCATGTAAAGCTTTGCTGTTTTACTGCTGATGGGCAAGTGTGGAAATGTTTAGAATTACACATAATTACACATAGTCAACTGTAAAGTGTAGTCAGTCTCTTTATAAGCTGTATATGGCATGATTTAACTCTACCAACTGTGAAACATATATGTTATTTCTTCTGAGTGGTTTATCACATTGACACACTGGGGTGTATTTCCTTATTTCTTTTATTTTTCAGTTAGAATAGTGAGAGAAGTAGGGGAAAAACAAAACAAAGAAACCAACCAAAAAGTTTCCTCACAGTGAGCTCTAGGCTACAACCTAAGCATTTTTAAAGCAATGTGCATTCTTCTTAAAATACAACTCTGACAGAGCAAATGTTTCTTCTCCCTCTATAAGCCAGCGCTTACAGTGAAGAAGTCAATCTCTGTGTTTTCAGTTCTTTACTCAGCGTCTGTTTGCTGAGTGCTGTCACGTGTTTTTATCTCTGCGTGTTGAGCTCTCTGGGCCACAAGTGTTTGGACATTTGCACACGTGCTGAAGTAAAAACGCTGCCATGCTTGTGTCTGCTTTCCTCTCAAAGCAGCAATGCTACCCAGCTCAGCTCTGGAACCCAAGTGTCCAAACCTGCTTATCCTTAGAAGATGTCGCTGTGCTTTTGATGGGTGCTTTTGCTCCTTTGCTGTGACAAACAATTATTTGTTCAGTGATTAATTATTGGTGTACTTTCTTCTTTCCCAGGAAGATTCAGAAAGGGCCAGATATTCTCACCGGTCTGGTCACCACCATCTTTACCTGGTTTGTGGTAACATATATGTATATATATAAGCTTACCTATGGTGCTGTCCCTCACTGGCTTCATTCACTCACAAACCTGCAATGTGTGTGCTTTTATTTTTGTCAGGGAGTAGAGGATACACTGTCCCTTCGAAGCCTTGGCAGTTACAGGGTTGGTATTCTAAGATGCTTACACTGAATAGCAAAGCTTTTAACCTTGAACTCCTTCAGCACTAGTGATTATCTAAGCAGTCTGACAATATCCAATTATACTTCTGCCTTTAACAATAAGTGGAAAATGCTGGCAAAGGTCTTTAGTGGAAAGAGATGTTTTCCTCTCAGATTATTGCTAGAAGTGAATCAATTCTAAAATCTTAGCTATTTTTATCTTAACAGAGGCCCATTCTCAATTTCTACAGAAATAGCTTTGATTTTTAAAAATATCACAAAATGGTAAGGTTGAGTTTTCTAAAATAACATCTACTTTGTCCTAATTTTTAGTTTTTTTTTTTTTTCTCTTTTTGTATTTTAAACTGACAATCTATTGAATGAGCAATAGCTTTGGGGCTTGCCTGATTATTTACAATTATAATTACATGAAACTATTGACTGGAAAATTTTTCTTGTCATGTGTAGGAATTATGTTTTGACATTTTGATTGGCACAGTAGTATCCCAGCCTTCAGTGTGGATACTGTAAATTGAGTGTGCTTTGTTGCCTAAAGTCCTGTGTGCTGTGCCGCAGCACAGCCTCTCCTTTTATTTCTTAGAGAGCTGTGGCAGAAGACGTGTTTTGCATTTTATGTTATTTATGTTTTTTATTAGTAAAGTCATCTTTCATACTAAGGGGTGCATCTGTTCCAACTCTGATCTTCTTCCTACCATATATACAAATGGCCTAGTTAAGCTATTCCAGCATACCAGGTATTAACACATTTATATTTGTAAACACTCCATTATGCTCTAATACATTGTTTTCTTTTGGTGTATGTAATCTATTGTGTTTTTAGAATAAGTTTGTACACTGGTTTTAAGTTATAACTGCTCTCTTTATTTACAAATTTTAGAATTGTTTTAGAGTATTTTTCAAGTTTTTAAATAAATCTAAGATTATCAGTGACTTAAAGGTGGCATTATAACTGGTATCAGTGACTTAAAGATGGCATTATAACTGGTATCAGTGACTTAAAGATGGCATTATAGGTGGTTGGAAAGCTGGCTCACCAGTTAAAAATCACTTGCTGCCTTTGCAGAGGACCTGGGTTGAATTCTTAGCACCCACATGACTGCAGCTCAATTTATAACTCCAGATCTAGGGCATCTGATGCCATCTTTCTAGCCTCTGCAGGCACCAGGGATACACACTGTACACATACATACACACAAGCAAAATACTCTTTAAAATTATTTTTATATGTATGAATGTGGTTTTTTTTCTTTTTTTTTTTTTTTGCAGAAAATGCATGCATGTGTTGTATTTCCTACTAGAGGAAGTTTTTCTTACCTCTTTAAATTTTACTTTAAAAAGATTCCACCAAAGTCTACCAAACTTTCAAAGTTGAGAGTCAAGGGCAATATCCCCTCTTTCTGTTAACTAGTTTCTTAGCTTTTTTTTTTTTAATTTCTTTACTTTTTATTATACAGCAACTAGTTTATATTTTAGCTTTTTTTACAAAGAAAATGCTAAGAAAATTATAATCACATGTCATGGTATTGAAATCATAATTCCGGATTTCTTTACATATAAGATGGAATGGTCCAGCAGCTATGTCCACTGTCACAGACTTTAGTTCCGTTCAATTGATATGGCACATCCTGCAAAATTAACTAGTCACACACACAAAAAAAGTCAAATACAGTAAAAATGTACACACAATAAAGGTAATTTACAGTTACAAATAAGGAATGTCATTTATCTTGGCTGTGTTTCAGAAATCTAGGGTCAATAGCCTTATTAGTCAAGGCACAGAAGGATGAGTAAGCACAACTGTCTCTAGGAGTAGGCAAAGTATGGACAATCACTGATGAGGCATGGATGCACGCAACGTATTCAAAATTGCTCAGTCTTGCTACGAAAATTGATCTGAGTTAAAGGAAATTCTGTGGCTTCCCCTATTTTCCACTTCTGGATTACTTCCAAAATCTTTCCATAAAATTGGCAAGGATATCCAAAAGCAATCACTATTTGGGTAAATGAAACAAAATACTTCACTAATCCGAATTGTTAGTTGTGCCTCTTGGAGTTTCTTAGCTTTTATAATGCTCATAGTATGAACTTTCAGACCTTCCTTATTGAGCTGAGTAAATTTGCATATAAACTTGGGGAAGCTGGATTAGGTTAGTTGATTTTTAAGTGTGACCTAAGTTAGGGAACTTTAAGTCAAACCTCCAAAGAAAAGAAATCTGCGCACTTGGGAGGCAGAGGCAGGTGGATTTCTGAGTTCGAGAGTTCGAGGCTAGCCTGGTCTACAGAGTGAGTTCCAGGACAGCCCGGGCTACACAGAGAAACCCTGTCTCGAAAAACAAAAAAAAAAAAAAAAAGAAAGAAAAGAAATCTGCAGTTAAACTGGTAAGGACTATTCCCATGTAGTGGATGGTACTTTAACTCTTCTTTTCTTTAATGGTAGCTATATGTGTTTCCATGGTAGAGGAAGACTCTTTGTATTTTTAAAGTTAATATATGAGGGCTGAAGATGCAATTTAAGTGGTAGAGTTCTTGACTCGAATGTGCAAGGACCTGGGCTTAGTCTCCAGTCCTGGCAGGAGAAAACCTGTGCTTGAACTTGAAAAGTTCTAAAGGAGGCTGGACTCTCTAAATATGTATTTGTACATATGCAGCATATTTGACATGTATAGATTTTACAAAATAAAGTCTGAATGCTCCCTGATAAAGTAAATTACATTTCTTTTAAACAATGTTCTTTGTTTTTGATCCGTCTGGGGATGGAGACCACTTCCAAGTGCTCCTCCACTGAGGCTGAGCCACACCCCCAGCCTTTGAGATCATTCCCTGGTTTGGTTTTAATTAGATGATATTAGGATTCCAACCATTTGGAGTTTCATTTGTTGTTTTGCTTTGGGGTATGTGTTAGTAGCTCTGGATTATTGGCTTTTCAAATGACTACCATTTCCATTAATCTGAACATGTCAGACAGCTTCTGTACTGTGTAAAAAATAAACACTATGGTCTAAAATGGTGACCTAAATATTCTTGTGGTTTACCATATGATTTAAAGGTTTCATTGTTTCTTTACCTGTTTTTGTACGCTTAAGAGTTATTTATTTAAAAGGCTCATACTGTTTACACATTTATTTGGTTTTGAAGTATTAGCAGTACCTAGATGTGGGTCAGGTACATTAAATGGTTTTATGCTGCATTCCTGGGACATTGAACTTTCCATTTGCTCAGTTTCAGAAACTAGTCTGTTGAAAGGTGCCCTTGATAGAAGCTATATGGGTCGAAAGTGCTGTAGACATTAAGACTAAAGATAACACGAACAAAAGAAGCCTGCGACTGAATCCTGACTTGGGGGAGGGACTAGTAAGTCAGAATCTTGGACTGAAAATAGAACTGTCTATGCCTGCCTGTTACTGGGAACAGATTGCTAATAACATGGAGTTAATAAGTCAGTTAGCTACCTTAAAAAAACACTACGAATGTTTGAGTATTGTGTGCACCGAATACAAGAAGACAATGGTAGAGATCTCAAATTAGGAAACAGAGTGGCCTTGAATCAAAGGATAACCACTATCCCTCACTTGTGGGGTTTTTACTGTTTAGTTACTGTTTCTTTAGTCATCTGCTTCTAGCTTTGAAATAATTGTGAACTCAGTTTTTAATTATTCTTTAAACTTGTCTTTTGTTATTTTAATACTACACTGTTTAATTTCACTGAAGAGTTCATCGAAGGATATTACTGGACCACGCTGGAGCAGAGCCAGTATGCCCAAGAGGAGAGACATGATGGTGTGTAATTCTGAGATATGTGATCTTAGATTTCCAGGCATTTATTGTTTGTTTTCAGTATTCTGGACATAGTAACAACAGGAATAGCCTGGTAAGACATGAGCGTTTCTGTTTTGTTTCCTTGTGTAAACTTTAAAGCAAATGTCTCTGAGGATTAAAGCCTTTTCCCCCTTTGAAATCTCGTTTTAGTGATAAAATGCTCTGAGAGAAGCATCTTAGGGGAGGAGAGGGTTTATGTGGCTCACACTTCCAGGTCACAGACCATCACTGAGAGAGGTCATGGCAGAAACTCAAGCAACAGCTTGCCGGCCTCCCTTCAGACACATGCTTAGCTAGCTTCTTTACAAAACTCATGCCTAGGGATGGTGCTGCCTACACTGGGCTGGGCCCTCCCTCCCACATCAGTTAATAAGATAGCATCCCTCCCCTTGCACCTCCCCACCATGTTCCTACAGGCCATTGATCTAGGCAGTTTTCAATCAAGTCTTTCCTCTCAGATAACTATGGGCTATGTCAAGTTGACAAAGCTTGTTAGGAGAAATAAATTATAATAGCATATATAGAAGTATTTTATCCAGAGTCCTTAATATTCTCAATTTTCCTTCTTTTGATAATTTTTAAGTGACATCACTACTAGCTGCCATTTATCAGATAAGTTATGTGTGTGTGTGTGTGTATGTGTGTATATGTATATGAATGTGTGTACGTGTGTGTTTAGTTGTTGATGCATCCACTTGATGGATTTCTCTGCTATATATATTCTGGAATTTTTAAGGCTAGCTGAATCCCCCATTATATTTTGAAAAAAGAAAAAAATGGGAGTACATTGTTTTGATTCTGCTTGCTAAAACACCCTGTCATCTACAGAGAGGATGAGAAGGCATGCGTGCCTTATTGCGGTAGGATAATTCATGTGTAAGCGCATGCGCTTTAATACTGTATGTTTTGGTCATGGATTTTTTTCTCTTTTTTTTTGTAGGATTTTTTTTTTCTCTAAAGAAATGTTTTAATAGGAAAAAGAAATAAATAAAACTTTTATAGAGAAATGTCACATACAACATTTTCAGTGAATTCATACCAGTGGTAAAATTGTACCACAGTCCTATATTAAAAGTCCTACATTTTTGAGGTTTCTGCCATATGTGTTCTAAATGACTATCTAAATACAAATAGACAGGCTTTGTTATATTTGAACTAGTATTTAAATATCTTACTAAAGTTAGATTGTATATTTTATCTTCTAGACTATTTTAAGCTTTATAAAATTATGATCGCCACCAGAAATATATTTTATTTCTTTATCTAGTCTATACAGATTTCTAGCTCTCTGTGTATCATTGAAACACATTTTAGAAAATTACATATAAAACTTATGTATCACTATGTATGTATAATATATATGGCTTGCTTGTTTTTTGAGATAACAGCTCACTGAGTGGCTTAGGGTGTCCTTGAACTTGGTTTCCTATAGCCTCAGTCTACTTATTGAGTGTTGGAATTACAAGTGTGTGCCTAGTCTTATGAAATGATATTAACTCTTCTGTGCACAACATCCTGTGATATTTTTTTCTCCCATACTTCACTTTTTTAAACTGCCAGTTAAATTCACTGAATTGATTTCAAAAGGGAACCAACTTAAATTTAAGAAAACATTACTGTGGGTCAGGGTTTTGAATAATATTTTCTAATGCCCTAACTCAGTGTAAAAATGTAAAGAAAGATATTTTTACAAAATAGTGTTTTTAAATGCTTTGTGATATATGTTTACCTTCGAGTAAGATTGTTTAAAAACTTGTAAGAATGCTGAAGACCCATTGTTAGGAGACTAAATCTACATGGCTGTGTGCTGCATTCCCTGTTAAAGGATCCTACACGGAAATGTGCGTTTTTCTGGTCTTGTTAATTTTCTATGATTTTTTGATTCATGTACTGATATCACTTGCTTGTCTACTGTGCATACCACATTCCGTTCTGGCCAAGTTTCTCATTTTGTTGAGCATTTTCTCAAAGAAATAAGATTTTAGGGCATATGTCTCTTAAGTAGGCTCAAGGAAGTGCTCCTGCTCTGATCCCAGGATTATTCTTTTGCAAGCTAGGTTAGGTAGTGCCCCTCCTTGCTTGGCTCTCTGTCGAAAGATGACAAGCAGTGACAGTAGCCACAGAGAGGAGGAGGAAAGCATCTTTGACCCCAGAATGCTTCTCATTTACATTTAAAGCCTTCCTTGGGCTGTACTGTTCTGTCATATTCTAAGATTGAGTCATCTTACCATTACTGCTTCCGAATTTTGTTATTTGAAAGGGAAATAGAGACTGAGGTATATTTCAGAGGTAAAAGTGCTTGCACAGCATGCACAAAGCTCTAAGTTCAATCCCCAGTGAAGTCCAAAGGATGGGGGTGAGGAGCACAGTCTTTTTGGATGTTTAAGTCTGTCTCAAACTCCAGAGTAGACAAGGCTAGAGTACACATAACTTTGCCTGGCATAAAACAAAGTTTTAATTATACAGACAGTTCAGCAACAATTTCTACTGAAAAAGTAAAGGTTATATCCAAATATAATAGCTTTTGTATTTAATAATCTTTTACTTTTGATTTAGGACTGCTTTGGTTTTAATAATGACAAAGTTGCTTTTTCTCTTATGTTCCTGACTGTGGCGATACAACCAACTTTCCTACTTTTCTGAACTGCAGTATGATACCGTCAAGGACAGAGCATCAAGAGTTTCGTCATTAGTATGTAGTGCATGACTTTGTGTTAAGTGTGAGGTTTTACTTTCTAAACATCAGTTGTTTATAGATTCATAGATTATGACTAACTTTTATGGTTTTGTTATGATCTTTTGGGGGAAGATATGTAACAAAACAAAAACCATTGTTTTTGCAATTGTGGCATAATCTGTTACTAGAATAATAGCTTTTCCCAGAGACTTCAGGATCAGGGGCTGAGAGCATTGTCCAGTGGTAAGGTGCTTTATTTGTTTATTTTTTTTATTTTTATTTTTTTATCATTGCATGGCTGTAGGCTTGCTTCCCAATATTGTAAAACAAAACAAAACCTCCTCAAAATGATTGGAATGCTTAATATAAGAGCCAAGAACCCTGACTGTTACTAAGATCTGTTGTAGTTCCGTCTGTCTTTGAGAGAAGAGCTGGCACACCTGTGTGTACTTACTTGCTACACAGGAGGACTGGTTTGCTTATTTTTTAACTTCATGTTTATTTATTTTGCCTATGTATGTGTTTCACATGGCATATATGTGGAGGTCAGAGGACAACTTTGTTGAAGCTGGTTCTCCTAACATGTGGGTCTCAGGGATTAAACTTAGTTCATCTAGCATCAGGCTTGACAGCAAGCATCTTTACTCTCTGAGCCATCTTTCCAGCCCCTCTGACAGTGTTTTGATGCACCCTGAGCTATAATAGCATGGAGCTGTACTTGATTTTGTGTCATAAACTGGCAGGTTAGTAAATAAAACATCCAGTGGTGATGGGTGGCAGCTGAAGATGACCAAGCATTTTGGCTTGACATGCCGAATTAGCTAAGGAAGTCAAACCGGCTTGTTTTCTTTGGGCCACTATTATGTTGGTAGATTGCTCAAGTTTCTGGACTACCTAGTTTTCACTTAGAATATAGTGAAATATAAAAGAACATTCACAATAAGAAAATGCATTTATCCTTATTGTTGAGTAGTTTTCCTAGAACAGCCAGTTGCCCTTTGTTGTTTCTAGGTACTTGCATCGGCACAGTCTCACTACATAGGCTGAGCTTATTGTCTGCTGGTTGTCTGTTAATAACAGGACTGTCCTTTATCCCCAGGGAAAAGTGATTTTTTTTTTAATGTAAGCATCTTTTCAAAGTACTTTGTGTAAGCTTCAGAACATATATTTTAGGCATTTCTCTTCTAAGGAACATATGTCATGGATCTACGAACTTGGTCTAAGTGTACTGTCTGAGGGCTAGTGAGCTGGCTCAAGGGTTAAGAGTGGTTCCTGCTCTTCAGAGGGCCTGAGCTCAGTTCTCAGCATCTATGTTAGCTAGCTCATAACCATTATAACTCAGTTCTGGGGATCCATGCCCTCTTTGGCATGTGTACACATATGGCATATACATACAAATAAATGCACATAAACTAAATCCAAAAGAAGAATGCTGTCTTGAGCAGTGCCTGTGTGAACTTTGAGTTTATCTACAGCATTGCTTTTGCTTTTGATAAGAAGATTAATGGAGAAGGACTCTCGCCACATATGGCTTCCTAAAGGCAAGGAAGTAGGCATGAGATTTGAGTAAGGTGCAGCGAAGGTCCCCACACACATGCCTCTGACCCTGTGTCTAATAGGTTTCCTTTAGCTGCCCAGACACCAGGTTAGATAGTAGCGGGCACAAGGAGAGGTCAGAGAGAGTGATGTGCTTGAGGCCACATACCTCAGCCTTCCCAGTTCAGTGAGTCCACTACTAACAAACTAGAAGTAGATTGCACGTGCACTGCTCTGTATCATATGCACTGTTGCTATTATTTTATGGTGAGTTTCATTCTTAAAATTTCACTATATGATCTCTAAAGTTAACTTTCAATATTTATTTCCAGAATCATTCTTACAGTCACACCCATGGGATGGAGAAGCGATCCTCTAGTTCTTATAAAGATCCACTGGTTAGTTCTATTTCAGAAGTTTGATCTAGTTGTGGTATTATGGAAAGCAACAAATTACAAGTAGGTTTCATTCTCAAAATTTGTTTTTAGGAACCTGGAATATACTTCCTGGTAGAAAACAGTGAAGTGTGTAATAGACCCTTTCACCTGTGTGATTGCACTGCAGAATGAAGAGGCTTTCCATTCCAGTCACTTGACCAAACATTTCTGTAGAGAACAAATGCTACAGAATTGGGGTGCTTGGAACACCTCTTTCTCCTTATTGTGCCATTGGCAGAAATGTATTCTCTAGCTCCCTGCCAGTTCTGGGATCCCATGGGAGCCTTGGGAGGATGTAGCTAGAGGAGAAGAGAGAGGAAGAATGTAGCTGAAAACAGATTATAGAGGCCTTGGAGTACGGGGCATTGGCACTGTATTGGGAGATACTTTGAAAGCCGTGCCCTGTTCAGCTTCTTCATGGGCAGCTGCTGTGTTCTCGATGCTCTGGCTCTGTGGGCCTGGTTTTCCCACTGCTCCTTGCTGTGACTGTGGTTCCAGCTATCTAGAAACATTGGCACTGGCACCCATGAGACGCCAGCGTGAGGGATGGATCTGCCAACTCACCACACTGTCCACAATGCTCGGCTAAGCCCAGACCATTCTGGCTATGCCTCGAGTACCTGATAGAATGAAGACTTTTAATGCTTAAAGATTATCCAATGGATTTATATCTTTGGAAATGTTTAATTAACAAGATGCCCACACAATTAGAATTGTTATCCAAAATTTAACCTTTATGTAACAACTACTTTAGACTGCTAGAGACACGAGTACATCCGCAGCCATTTTCTCTCCTCTTCTTCCTCCTCCTCTCTCCTCCCCTTCCTCACTCCGCCTACCTTTCATACATGACCAAGCGTTATTGCAAATGTAGCAGGAAAATATCCCGCTCCACTGGCACCTTTGTGGCCAGGTGAGCCGAGGTGCCTGGTTGAGGTGTGAGTGGCAGTGATGGCAGAAGACAGGGCCAAGAGGGTGCAGGTGGGGTAGAGGCAGGGTCCTTCGAGTAGTGTCAGAAGCAGAGAAGAGAGGTTCTAGGCAGGGATATCATACATTTGCTTAACCTCTACCAAGAGGGAGATTTGGGAAGAGATTTCTCTAACCCAGTAATTTATAAAAGTGGTAATTAGACAGTAGCCCTAGGTTTTTCAGGATTATTCTTAAATATGGAGTAAGAGTAATTCCATTATTTGTATTTCATTTTTATTTGAGGGTGTATTGTCTGGTCTTTAACAATAATTAGTAGAGATTGTTTGAAGTAGCTGACCTTTAATGCCCATCCTTCCTAAGACATTTTAAACCATTGCTGCTTGCCCTGTGCTGTGGTCCATTGCTCTAAAGGGCTTGCTCTGAGGAAGAAAGAACCTGTACAGTATCAGATTTTGCCTGTGTGTTCAAAGTTTATTTTGGTTGTGGTTGCATCAAAAACATGTAACCTAAGAAAACTTGTTAAATTTTGCTTTTTGCAGAGTGGCCTCTACTTTGACCAGAGAAACTATAGCAGTCTTAGACATGGCAAACCTGCCTCTACCTACTATTTCCGGGTTTGTTTAAAGATTTTTGTTCTCATGTATCTTAATACATCTCTAACCCCCCATTTTGCATTTTTGCTATTTGTAACTAATCTATGAATGGTTTGGATATATCAGTTTTGATAATTGATTCATATAATCCTCCTTGAGTGCGTCTTCAGAGAGAACTGTTAAATTACCATGCTTGTGATGAAAAATTCAAACAGAAAAAGATTTTGTATAGTGAACATCACATTCTTACTACTTAGGTTATATAGTTTATTTCCTTAATCACAGATTATTTGCCTGTTACCTCATCTATCATTCTATCTTTTGTTAGTTTGTTTTGTTTTTTTTTAGGCAGAGTATCACTATGTATGTAGCACAGGCTCAAACTCCTCTGCCTTAGCCTCCCAGTAGTTGGCATTAAGGTGGGACCACCATGTCCAGCTTCTATCTAGTTTTCTGATTCATTGCAGAGTAAGCTACTGGTATCAATACACTCATTGCTTGGTACATGTGAAAGTATAAGCTACATATAGGATGAGATGGATGTTATTATTTGTTAGAATATTAATGTAATGTTAGAATCTTGTTTTTCTTTTTTGACTGTTTTATGTTTTTGCTTGTTTTGTTTGATTTTGAGACATGGTGTGTTTCTGTAGCTAAGATAGGTCATCCTGCCTCAGCTATCCATATTACCACAGTCAGAAACTTTTCTTTTCAAGACATTTAACTTTTTTTTTTAAAATGGTTTTTCAAGACAGAGTTTCTCTGTGTAGCACTGGCTGTCCTGGAACTCACTCTGTAGAGTAGGGTAGCCTTGAATCAGACATCTGCCTCCCAAGTGCTGGGATTAAAGGCTGTGCCAAAACTGCCTGGCATTTAACATTTAAAGCATGCTTTAATGCGTGGTACCTAGTACATTTCAAAGTATTGAGAAATGGGAGCAAATCTATGTGATAGACACATGCAAGGCTCTGGATTCAGTTTCGAGCACTGAAAATGTTGTCAACTTAAAAACTCCCTGCACACAATTTCTTTCACTATTCTCATTCGTCTAGGTTTAGGGGAAAAGAACTGAAAATTGTGTCTTAAGTCACAGTAGGGAAAGAGATGTAATTTCTTTATAAAGAGTGCTTTTAGTGAGTGAACTCAGCTGGTGAGTGCAGCTTCTCTGGTTAACTAGCGTGCTGTGTCCATGTATGTTTAGAAAGACAAGCTTTCAGATATGTTTGAAAAAATGTAGTGATAGCAGTAACCGAGGGCTTGCTTATTCGTCCTTTATAGCCTGACCAAGCCCACTGGGAGTCTGTCACAAAAGCATCAACAGTGCCCCAGGAGCTTTGGTGGCTCAGAGGCCACCATTTGATATACTTCCAGTGCGGGGTGGTAGGGTAGGGGGTGGGGGTGGGAGGCTTTTCTTGTGTGCATTCCTGGGTCCTTATCTTGCACCCTGCCAATAATTTGATGGTACCAAAAGGTTGTCGACATATTGATGGACAACAGTTAGAAGTGATTTCCTATCTCATCTTTAACAGTTAGCATTCAAAAAGGTTTTGGTGAGTTTTCCTCTTATTTCATATGTCTTTACACTACTTTAAGTGCTTGGGGCTGACTAATGAAGTTATGGAATCAAAAATCATAAACTTAAAGTCTTCTGCTTGCATGAAGGGGAATGCCTTCTTCTGCCTTTGTTTTTGCTTATTCCTGTTGTTCTGCCTCTCTTACAGTCTTCTTCCCTGTGCAGTGAGCCGATGGGGACCTCCAAGAGTCAGAGCAGGGTCAGTACTCTCCAAGGGCACATTGCTGTCTCAGCTCCCTCGACTTTCTTTAGGTTTAATCAGTGCACTTTTTCATAGGCTTCCCCTACTGTAACTTCTGGTCTGCTGAGAAGTACCAGTCTGGTTTGTATTTCCTTCTTCCAGAGTGTGCTCTGCAGTAGGGCCACTGTCAGGGGCTGAGCTGTGTAGCCTTCCTGCCATGTGCCCTGCAATGTATGCTCTGCCTGTGCTTAGGGTACAAAACTTAGGCATGAAAAATACTCCTGTTCTTTGCTAATGTAGAAATGGATGACTTTGGTTAGCTTGTGTTTATACTCTGTTTCCTGTAAGGAGAGAGACTCCTCTGGAGCCTGCCACACTCTCATGGTTTTCTTTGGTTATGGCTATGACCCCCCAGCTATGGCAGTCAAAATCTATTAAGCAAGCTGAATTAAAGCATAACCAGTAGCTTTGTGTGACATGCCAGTTGTCCGTGCGTGCTTCTAGCTGATTGTTGTTCTGTGTCCAGCTTCAGACTGGAACCCCAGGAGTGCTTATAATTCTTTTACTTCCTGACTGTTTGCTTCCTCGCATTATAACGTGAGGGTGAAAGAAAATACTGCAGTGTTTTTTTCTAACCAAGTATATTGATGAATAATGAAACTGATACAGTGAACCATATATGTAAGTGAATGTAACACACTATCTCTTAAACATTTTTTGAATTATGAAGTTCCAAAATAATAAATATATTTTCAAAACAACTCCGGTGTTAAATAGATAAATAATATTCTTTTGTTCTTCAGGCATCATTGTATGATGGTGGATTATATAACCCTTATGGTTCTCGAACTGTAAGTCTAAATGGGGAAGGTGGTGGGAGGGATACAGGAAGGGACAGACCCTATACTAGAAATTGTGACACATTCACTTAGCCAGTTATGAGAAGGTGACTACTAGAAGTTAGGAGGTTACATATGAGGGGAGTCTATAGAAAAACTCCTTGGGAACATTTTATCCCCATCTAAGGGTGAGTGTGAGGTGGGTTGTCAGACCAAGGAAGAGCAGCTCTTTTCACCTTGAGCATCAAGAGTTAAGAGTAGGGTCATTGTACTCCCAGCAGAGAAACTGAGCTGGCCATTGTTGTAAAACCTTTCTTCTTGGAAACTTTATAGCCATCTGAATACAGTTACTACTCATCCAGAGCAAGTTCCTCCAGAAGCAGTCCTGTGGTGAGCTAATGTCTCTGCATGCTTTAGGAACGTTTAGTTGTTCTGCAGTCACACTTTGGGATGGAGTGATGTGTTTCACCATCTTGTGCATGGATTATGTGCTCCTAAGTCCATACAAATCAAGTACTAACCTGTGTTAACCTGTGTGAACCCGAGTGATTGCTTAACTGAGTCTAGAATTGAGCCCATTGAGTAGCCTTAAAGTCTTTGAATTGCCATTTATGAGAAACACTTTGTCTCTCAAGAATTGATATTCCTGTCGGGTGTGCTGCTCTGGGCTTTCCCTGCTTCTGTTCCCATGTTGTTTTCCCTTGGTTACCAAACCTTCTGTCTGTGAAGTGGTGGGAGAGGTGAAACAAACCCAACTCTTAAACCTTCTCCTTCTGGAACGGCTAAAGTTTATTTTGTAGTTTATGAGTAAGTGATGTTAGTAAATCCAGAGTAACATGGAACCTGTTCACATGTATACTTTCAGAGATGTTCTGGACATGTATGAGTGCTTTTCATTTTGACCACAAATGGCTTCCTTTCCAGTATGTGTTACTCCTCTATGTTTCTTAAAGGATGTTGTGTCAGTGCATACAGATTTATAGCATCCTTTTTTTGACATTATTATTTTTAACAATAAGTTATGCCCCTTTTCAATTATTGTCACTTTGAGATGGTTACATATTATCAAATCTTTTTAATGTCAGCGTACTATCCCACAAAGGCGTAGATAATCATTTTAGTATTGATGGTCATTTAGATTGTCAGACATTAGCTGTGTGTACACATGAGCTGTACATTCACATATGGAGGTCAGAGGTCAGTGTCAGGTGTCTTTGTTAATTACTCCCCTCTACCTTCTTTGTTTAGATGGAGTCTCACTGAACCTAGAGATCACTGTTTTGGCTAGACAGGCTGGCCAGTGAGCCTGAGAGCCACTGTCCCCAGTGCACATAGTTCCACCCTGGCTTTGACATGAATGCTGGGAGTCCAAATTAAGGGCCCCATGCTTGCAGAACAGACACTTTACCTATTGAGCCATCTCCCCAGCCCTATGATGAACACACATTCTCTGTTTGCCTCTGTCTCTATTGTTCTCTCCCTTGTACACACACATACGTGCCAAACAGAGTGTATACTTACATGAGTATATCTGCAAGACAAGTTGTGTATCAGGAAATAATAGGAATTTAAGAGCATATGTGCTGTTTAAAAAAATATTTATTTTTGTTTTATGTGTATAAATGTTTTGCCTACATATATGTGTGTGTACCATGTGCATGTCTGTGCCCTTGGAAGCTAGAAGAGGATATTATATCCTCTGGAACTGTACTTATAGGAGATTGTGAACTACCATGTGGCTGTGGGAATCAAACCCTGGTCACTTGCAAGAACAGCAGGTGATCTTAACTGCTGAACCATCTCTCTAGACTTCATACTCTTTGAGATGGGGCCTTTCTGTGTAGCTCTCGATGGTTTGGAGCTCACTATGTAGACTAAACTGGCCTCAAACTCAGAGGTCCACTGGCTTCTGCTTCCCCTAGTGTTGTAACTAAAGGTGCGGCCACCATGCTCAGCGCATATGCGTTTCAATTTTGCTATCTATGGCCATATATTGACAACTAAAAAGACTATACTAATTTACATTCCAAAGCAAATGATTTCTTTAGGTATACTGTATTGTTATCCTTACAGATTATCCCAAATTGGAGAAATTATTATTAATAATCATTAAGATTACTTTATGGCAGGTAAAATATGAGTTTTCTTGGCTTTCTTTTATGTTTATGTTTGTAGTTACAGCCATCTGAGTTGCAGTTCTCAGATACCACTCCTGTACGTAATAAAAACTCGTGTGTGTGTATTTAGGGGATAAGGGCTTTTCACAAAAGATGGATGCTTCCTTTTAACCCACTGTATACTCAAATTATACTTGGCAGTTTTCAGACCTAGTGACATTTTTAATATGCCAAATGTAGTAGCCTCCCCTGCAAAAAACTTTTGATGGCACACTTTCAAAAACAAGTTAGTGTAGATCCTTGTTCTTGTGAGCTGGCTAGATTCTATTTCATTTGCAATTTGGGTTCAGAATTTCTAATGTAATGATGCCAGAATGGCATCTTAGTGACATCAGAATGGAGATAAGCTACTTACTTGTACCAATTGAGTCTTGCCAATGCAGTGGGAAGAACACAGCCCTGTCAAGGGGATAACAGTACCGTCACTGCTAGCTGCATAGGAATGAGAGCCAGGAAATGAGTCACTGCCTCAGAGCTTTGCTGGTAGGAACTTCTTTGACATATGTTATTTCATCTTAAAGCATCATTTTTTCCCCCAAATTAAAATCTTAAGTGTATTTATTGACCTCTCAAGGGACCACACAGATCTGCAAGTCTTCCTTGACTGGTTTTGTCTAGTTTATTCATACCCTCACCATCATTAAACTTAAATAAAAGATGGAGTTTTACTTTATTCATTGTGCTTTGGGGAAGTATTTTGGTTTTTAAGGATAGTTCATTATGTCCTATAGCAGTTTATCTCCTTAGTGCTGCACAGTGGTGCATGCTAATTGTAGTGCTCACGGAGTGTGGCCTCCTGAAACGCGCCAGTGTGTTTACAGCCGGTGAGACCCACAGAGAAACTGAGTCTGTTTTACTTTCTGTAGCCCTTCGATGATGACACCGAAAGCATTGTGTCTTCTGAGCGTGCCAGTCGTGGGCGAAGGGAGAGTGTGGTGAGCATGGTCTGCATGCAAACAAACAGCTTTTACATGACAACAGTGCATGATTATGTGAAATTTGCTGCAAAGTAAAATATGTATTTGACAAAGAGAGCATTTTCCTTACATACAGCTTATGTGAACAGCTTGCTTTGTAAAGTGGTCTTGAAAATGAGTCAGAGATTCACATGCTTTATGTACAAATCCTTTATGGAAAAACTTTCATTTTATTTTTTGTTTCCTTATGCATACCTATTTATCTGTTTATTTTCCAAGACAAGCCTGTCAAACGAGAGTCACATTTGTACTATCGTATGGTACTTGTAACTGAAATCTGGGGGTCAGGGACGGGCCTGTTGCTTCTTGTACGTAAGCGGAGCCAGTGCGTGTCCAGTTCTTAAGATTGTGACCTTTGTTACCTGTTGATGGCAAGGTTTTAAAACATCAGTTCAGACATTTACCTAACAAATCATTGTAGACGCTGTAATAGCTTCATGTTATTCTTTAAAGAAGTTGGAAATTTTCTGAGTGACATTTTTGTTCTGATGTGGAAATTATAGAGTAGAAGATGGTTTGTCAGCTTGGAGTTAGAATAAAGAGGCCTATGAAGCTATAATTCCTTCCAGAAAAGTAGTCCACTTAGTGCAAGCAGAATTAATGTGGATGGTTATAAACCCACAGTTCTCATAGAGAAGGAAGCACCACATGTTTAAGTGAGATAAATTCATCTAATTAAAGCAGTTGTGGTCCCTTATCAAACCATGCAATGCTCCCACTCATGGCTGAACTAGAAATAAAAGTCAGAACACCTGAAAGCATCTTGGAAGCAGCAAATGGAAAGGGTAGTAACTGTCCAGTGATGCTGCTGGGCTTGCCTCGACCTTCACAGCCTGTTAGTTGTTTCTGTACAATGGGAATCTAATTGCTGTCTACTTGGTTGTTAGGCTTAATAAATGTTTTCAGTGAATAACTATGGAAGATAACTTTCAAACTTGTAAGGTAGTTGGTGCAAATAAATATTAGTATATATAAATCAAGTTGTAATACTATTTTAAAGAATAAAAATATCATTGCTTGATCTTGTTGGCCTTTAGCAGACTTCATACTTTTAAGACTGGTTTGTCCCTACGGATGGGTTTCTGAATTCACTTTTTGGTGAGGAGTTTTAAAGCAAGGCAGGCAGCTTAAGAATCACTGTGAAGTAGGTGGTGATGGATGGTACACACCTTTAATCCCAGCACTTGGGAGGCAGAGATAGGTAGATCTCTGAGTTTGAGGGCAGCCTTATCTACAGGGTGAGCTCCAGGACATCCAAGGCTACCAAAAGAAACCCAGTCTCAAAACAAACAAACTAACCAACAGAATAACTGATGAGTGGGGATAGGCATTTGATAGGTGTTATGGAGTGCCTGTTATACCTGAGGCACTGTGTTAAGTGCTAGGAGTGATGTGTCAAATCAAAGAGGACAGATCTCTGAGCTTATCTCCTATTAGAGACATAGAGATAAACTAGTGAAGAAGGAACACAGATGGAAGACAGCTCACGGTGTGAGGAGAAGGCAGGTGCATGTGATGGCACACTTCAGGGTGGGTATGTGAGAGTGACCTTGGAAGAGTCTTCAGAGACTGTGACTTCTCATACAAGAGACTCAGTTGTGGAAGAACAAGAGAAGGGACTTTCCAGGCCAGTCTTCATTATTTTGTCCAACAATTCCTGATATAATGATATGTGAAAAAGGAATTGTGGAAATTGAGTATTGCCAGAGTTGATAGCTATAATGAGTTATAATATTAAAAAATATAGTAGAGGTCTGATAATAGCTGGGAACACTGCCCTCCCCAGTTGAAGGTTCCCAGGGCCTTCAGTGTGCAAGGTTTGTCATGAACTCAGGCAGAGAATGGCTTCTATCACAGAATTGCATTTGATGCTGCAGAAGGCTTGTTTTAGGAGCTTGTTTTAGGTACCTCTTATTTGCTTTTTGAAATAAGTTAACTGTAAAAGTTTTCTCATTTCATGATACTTCACCAAACATCATATTAAAGCAAGTGCACAATTTTCCAGTTTTAGCTAGTGTTCTTTCTTCCTTTCTGACTTTAAAGTGTTTCATTTTCTCTGACTGAAAGGTTTCTGCTGCCGATTACTTTAGTCGCTCCAATCGTAGGGGAAGCGTTGTCTCTGAGGTGGATGATGCCGGCATCTCAGACGTGGCCAGCGTGAGTGTATTGCATGGGTTCATTGTGTTGTTGCAGGCGTGTGACTAACAGCTGCTGTAGTAGTTATTTTTAAAGTTAGGAATCAAATTAACTCCTTAAACATTTACTTGAGCATATTAACATGAAATATAAGTGTTTTGGAATATGTTTGTTAAAATGTGCTTAAAAACACCCTTTCCCTCTTACCCCGTGGAATCCCTCCAGAGCTCGTCAGTATTTTCGGTGAGTCCTGATATCACTGCTTATTGTATTTGGGATGTTTTTCACTGTTCTTTTCTCTGACTTATTCCAGAGCCAATCCATTTACATCATATCATTTCCTAATAAACAGTTTGATATGCATACCTAACAGACCATTCCTAAGGAAATAAGTACTTTTCTAATACCCACTCATACTTGGCTCATATTCAGATGCTTCAGGCTCACTCCTTGTCCCCCCTCTTGGTTTTGATAAAGATATAAAGTTATAGATAGACTTTAAAAGCTGAATAATAAAATGTTACTTAGTAAAATGCCACTGATTTTCTGTTTTAAAATGGACTCTGGTGTGGGTCTGAGGCACCCTTCCTAGCTGTTCCCAGCTGTGGGGACTGCGTAGAAGCAGAGTGCCCATGGTAACACCTGTATACTCACCATTTAGGTACATTGTGACCTGCCTTCTGTGCGCATCTCTCCACCCTCCATCCCCAGCTGGCACCACACAGACAAGCCCTGTTCTAATTGCCCAGCACTTTGGAGGGGATGAAAGGTAGCAGTTCTTCTGGAAATGCAAAGATTGATTTTTGTTAGCACTTCACTTATAGTATGAAGTAGCTATTTCTGAACTATTTTAATCCTAGAAAAGAATTTAAATTATTTTAATTGCAGTCCTAGATATTCCACATTACTAGTTCTTAAATCTGGCTATATAGCAGTCTCATCTTGCTGTGGATTGTCCACATATAAAATTAAAAGGTGGTTTCCTAGCTATTCTCTGAGATGCTGTCCATTTTACTAATCTGCTTAGTAACCTTGTTTTAATTTTGAGAAGATTTTATTTTGTGCATGTGTGTTCGTGTGAGCATTAGTATGGAGCACGTGTGTGGGTCAGAGGACAGCTCACAGGAGTTGTTTGTTGTTCTCCTTTCCTGTGGTCCTGGGGATTAGACTCACAGTACTGATGCTCAGTGGTGAGTGCCTACCTGCTAAGCGAGCTGTGCCATTGGTCCACTGGGACCTGCTTTCCCCTGTAAATATAATTGACTTTGCTCTACATACCTGTTCTCTCGATAGCTTCACTTCTGCCAGTCTCACAATTCATGATACCTGAATTAGTGGTTATATCCCCTGTATATTCAGTTGTTGGCAATTTGCTTTAGTAATTGTGTACAAATGAAGAACTTTACAATTTGTCTTTTCCTGCCTCTATTAATTAAATAGCTCTTTCATATAAGCAAAAGATTGTCTAGGACAGGGCTTTCCAAGTATTCTTGTTATTTTATAGCCTGTGAGCCATTGTAGTTTGTATTTTTAAGTGCCTATAAAATACAGTTACCTTTGCCTTTTGATGATGTCCTCTAAGCTAGCAACTCTCTCTAATTTAACAAGTATATGCTTCAATTCACCTCATTGAAGCAGATGAAAAGGGGATTTATATTGGTCCATCCTTTACTGTCCCCAGTTCTGCCTTTGAAAGATGCTTTCCAGCTGTTGTGTGTGGGCACACTGTATGCTCACAGGATAATAACCTTGGACTGAGGAGATGCTGGAAAAGGTGCCAGCCAGGTCTACAAAACTACAGGGTTCATATGTTGTAACCTCTTGTCTTGCTCTGTGGGTCAGGCTAGAATAAAGGAAAATAAAAAGATATAAATGTGCTGACTTACTATTCATTGCATCTGCTTTTGAAAGAAATCCTTAGCCAGGATCATTTCAGGAAATTATTGAAGTCATTGTTCATTTCCCTTCTATGGTTATAGAATCAGATCCACTTTCTGTGTTTTTTTTTTCTTTAAACAACTTTCAGATAACCTTATTATTAGGTTGAGTATTCTTAGTAGGAAAACTCAAAATAAAAAATCATCCTGTTCTAAAATCTAAAGGTTGTTGAATATTGACCTGGTGTTTTATAATCTGGGTTGCAGTCAGACTTCAATTACACTAAAAATAATATATAAAGTTAACTTTAACTGTCATATATAAAATGTGAAGTACAGGTTTATTCTGTGTTTAGATTTGGGTACCATCCCCAAGAGATAAAATTATTTCCACAATTGAAAAAAAATCCTAAATTTGAAATACTTTTTCCCCCCAAGTATTTCAAATGAAGGACATTTATTAGAAGTTAATGGGTAATTGTGATTCAATGAATGCATTTAATAAACCACACTGTCAGCATTTTATTTAGAGTGTCCTTCTATACCTTGAGCATGAGTACATTTTATTGCATTTAAAAGCCATTTCAGTGTCTGGCAGGTCCTTTCAGTCTTGACTGTAAACATTGCTTGTCATTGCAATCCACCTTTAGAGACTCTGGAAGCTTTACAGTGTGAGCCTCAGAAGAGAGCCTGAAGGAGTCTCTGGCCGAGTCACTGCAGCCAAAATACTTGGATTGCGGCATGGCTGCTTTATGCTGGCTTACCAATTCCTCACGTTTGGCTCATGATCAGTTTGAGTTGCTACAGTTGGACTTTGTCAGAATACAGTGAGCACTGTAGTCAGTGTTGTGGTACTTCAGTGATGCAGCCTCTGAAATATATGATTATTCCAAAGTGACAGTCTGGTAAAAGTGAGTGAGTTTGGGGGTCATTTTATAGGAAAGGTGATATGAAGAAGGATTTCAGATGGACTAGACTATTTTAATTTTGAATATTTCTTTTCTCATTAACGTATTAGCAGAAATGAATTAGAAAAATAAGGCAGTTTATGTAGACATAAGGTTTGCATGACAGAGATCAGACAACAAACAAATGGATCAATGTAATAGTGTGGGAATAAGACATTCTACGAAGAAAAGTGAAGTAGGGGGAAAAGGAGCGAGAAATGTATCTGGGATGTTGTTGTTGAGATTTTGAGAGACTTGGGTTGTGATTGTCCTTTGTAGAGCAGGGCTTGGTGGGGAGAAAGGCCAAGTTTTATAACCTTTTGTATTCTTTGAGTTTGCTGTGTAAAAAGAAAAGTTTATATAACCCTTTTTGTCATTAAATAGTTTTATGCATTATTCTGTATCTTAATAATGTTTACATTTTGTATTGATGTCTGCAGTGTTCACACTGAGGTTTGTATGTAGTTTTCTTTAATGTGTTTTAAGTACCATGAAAAGAAAAATCTGTCTAAACAATCTAAAAATTTGAATCTATGCTGCTTGCTTTCTGCCGATCTTCTTTAGGATGTGAACTAAAGGTTTTTGACACTTTGTCATAACTTTTATTCTAGTTTTAATGTGTTCATTTTGATTCCACACGTCACCGAATTTAGAACGCACCATTGAGATTGCTTTTCTCCTCCCAAAACAAGTCAACAATGCTGAGTGTCTTCTTGATTTGTATCTCTTTTTTTTTTTCTAGTTGGATGAAAAATCTGACAAACAGTATGCTGAAAACTACACCAGAGTGAGTATCAGGTTCTTGACGGATGGAGCTCTTGGGGTCAGTCCCAGGCTTCCTGTGACTCTCTTTCTGTTCAGCACAACTGGCCGACAGAGTGGTTCTTCCCCTCATCTATTTCCTGTTCTTGACCCCTCAAAATTCCTGCAGCTTTAGATCATGTGAAAGTCTGACGAGGAGAGAAGAGTACGTTCATTTCACTGGACGTCATCCTAAAGCTCTTGGCTTTGATTCCCAGTCTCTGAACACTGACATTGAGAAGCCATTAAACATGGGAACTAAGTGTCTAGGAATAGACCAGCAAACTCATAGTTTTGATTGTTTTTCTTGTAGCTAAATCACTTCTGTAAGGAAACTCGGGTAGCTTCCTTGTGGAGGAGTGTTCTGCAGTAAAGTTCTTTTTCTTAAACAGTTTTCTGGTTGTTGTTCTTTTGTTTTGTTGTTTTGAGACAGGTTTTCTCTGTGTTATGAACTCACTCTGTAGACCAGGCTGGCCTCAAATTCACTGAGATCTTCCTGCCTCTGCCTCCCAAGTGCTGGGATTAAAGTCATATGCCACCACCATCCAGCTTCTTAACATATTTTTAAGAAGTTAGGAAAATGTTGTGCTGTATTAAATTTTATAATGCAGAGCAGAACTATAAGCCTATGTGATTTTAATTTTTTTTAGCCACACTCTAGAAAAAAATAAAATCGATTTAAATAATATTCAACCCAAATAACCAACACATTTCAATATAAACTCAACTGAAATGTTTTGTTTTGTGATGATTGAGTCAGGGTCTTTGTATGTAGCCTGAGCTGACCTTGACCCCTACCTCAGCCTATTGCTGGACTTAGAGTACTGCAGCAGTCAATAACACTCTACCAAGATGACTATGGTGCATTTTGTCCACTGTTTTTTTTCTGCAGAAAGCCTTTAAAGTCTTGTGTACATTTTATGCTTACATCTCATTGGAATCAGCTCCATTTCAAGTGGTGTCCTGTGACACTCGACAAGTCTTCTAGATAGTACAGTTTTCTGCTGTCTATTAGTCAACAGTGTGGCTTTGGGAAGAGCAGTCTAAATTCATAGCAGTGTATTATGTTCTTGCTCTTAGCCAAAAATAGTTCATCTTTCTTAGCAAAGGTGTGATGCTTAAGCAATGTAGGGACCAAAGTAGAGAAGTACTAATTAGACATTAGTTCTGAAACAGCTGTTAGCCTGACAGCTCACCCATGCTTGAGACCACATGGGTTGCACTTGGTCCCTGTTGACTGAGTTAATAGAATGTTGATCCTAGGCTATCAACTGTCCCCACTGCCCTGCCCCTTGTTCCATCTTCACAGCAAATGTTTGATGACACAGCTCACAAGTGTCATTTTTTCCCCCTCTTTTTCAGCCTTCATCTCGAAATTCTGCCTCAGCAACAACGCCTCTAAGTGGAAACTCATCCAGACGGGGTAGTGGGGACACCAGCAGCTTAATAGACCCAGACACCTCGTTAAGTGAACTGCGGGTAAGCTACAGGTCGTCTGCCTTTGAAAAGCAGCTTTGGATTTTGTAGTCCATGGAACTTTTAACATTTTATGTGACTTATGAGGAACAAAATAGGGTTTCTGTAAAGACATGGTCATCAGAGCTCAGAAATCTTACCTGAATATTTCAGAGCTGAGAGGAGCAGATTAGATTATTCTTTCTTTAGTTTTCTCTTCTGAAGATTTGATGGCATTGTAATGGATTCTGTCAGTGCCAAACAGTAATGTTATCTATATGAAAGTAATTCTTTAAGAATGACCTTGCCATGTTTTAAGTGGAAAATATTTGGGCTTACAAAGAACAACAGACTACAAGAAGGAATTATTAGTCTTTTGAGCCATTATCATATTAGGTACTTGAATACAGGTTCTCAGTTTTCCATAGTAATAAAAGTATAATATTTGGATAACAGAAATACCTGAGCTAGTGGAAAGTTTATTTGATCCATCAATTAAGTCTCCGAATTTATTAACCCATTTATTTTGAAGATGGGAATGTACCAAACAATTATTTTTGACTGTCTTATTTTCTGAATTTGTTATCTGAAGAATGGATCAAGACTTGTGAGAAGAGTTACATTCATTTGCTTGCTCACTTGTTCACTCACTCAGTCACAGTTTCTGAACACTTGGCAGTGGACATGTAGACAGCTGGTCATAATCTGGCCTTCAAGAGATCACTGTCCTTTAGAAAGAAAAACTGATTCGTATCAGTTGAACCAGCTAATAGTGTGCAGTTGTCCCAAGATCAGGATAAATTAGTTTAGAAAGGCATCACATTAGACAAGGAAAAGAGAGCAAAGGCTTTCAGAGAAGCAAGCTCCGAGCTAAGACTTGAAGGAAGAATAAAAATGAATAAAGCATAGAAGCTGAAGGGAGAGTCTCTCTTGAATGAGTTCAGAGAACTTGAAAGACATTGGTACAGAATGCTTGCCAATGTGATTTGATTTGCATTCATTTTTATATATCCTTCCTATCTATCTATCTATCTATCTATCTATCTATCTATCTATCTATCTATCTATCTATCTATCTATCTTATTTATTTGGGTTTTTCGAGACAGGGTTTCTCTGTGTAGCCCTGGCTGTCCTGGAACTCACTCTATAGACCAGACTGGCCTTGAACTCAGAAATCCACCTGCCTCTGCCTCCCAAATGCTGGGATTAAAGGCGTGTGCCACCACTGCCCAGCTATTTAGTGTATTTATATGAGTGTGATACACCAGAAGAGGGCATCTGATCTCATTATAGATGATTGTGAGTCACCATGTGGTTGCTGGGAATTGAGCTCAGGACCTCTGGAAGAGCAGTCAGTGCTCTTAACCACTGAGCCATCTTTCCAGCCCCTGATTTGCATTGTTAAAAGTAACTCTCTCACCACAGTCCTGAGGGAGAATACCACCCAGGGCTTGAACAGTGAGGATGTAGTGGGCAGATGAAGACTTTTAGGGGAGAAGATGTAAGAAATTGGCCCTGAAGTTAATTTATAGCACTAAGATTAGGGTGGGCAGTAAGTCAAGAGATGGAGTATCAAACAGATAGCTGACTTTTTTCCTTCCCTTTTCTTTTTGTAAGACTGAGGTTGCTTATATTTCCGTGGGTTGGCTTGAGCAGGTGGAAAGGGAAGCTGAGAGTTGAGGGAGAACAGACAGTAGCTGACAGCAATGTTGGAGGTGAGAGGAGAGAGAGCGGGCTACCTGAAGGGTGTGCCTGTGACCATGCCTTTCTACTGCCAAGTAGCAGAGGAGGTTGGTTGTGAAATTGCAAGACAGCAGAAGACTGTCTAGAGGAGTTCTAGAACAGTAGCAGGGAGGAGAGTTGGCCAGGGCAGTGGAGTTCTTTGAGCTCTTACTAATGACCAGGCATAAATGCTGAGGACACAGATGTTTCATAAGGAAAAGACTTGCCTTTAGGGGCTTCATTCTCATGTGACAGAAGGACATTGAGACAAGCTATTCCATCCTTGGACTTAGGCAGCTCCTGTATAGCCCTTGGCATTTGTGTAGTATTTTTCCCTTGGAAGACTAGCCTCTGAGGAAGAGGTGGTTTTAGGTCCTAGTGCCTAACTCCTGATGGGCTTGGCCCCTAGCAAAGTAGTTGTTGAATAAATCAATGAGTACAAGACTAGCACACCTATCCAAGAGGGAATGAGATAGGCAGGGAAATCACAGAGCAAGATGCTCTCCAACAGCCAATTCTGTGCCATTGCTGCACTCAGAGCCCTGATGCAGTTATAGCCCACCTTGATGTTGCGTGGCGTGATTGGACACAAGACATAATATTTTCCATTTAAAGTTTGGCCTATTTAAAAAATATTATGGAAACCTTTGGAGCAGATGCTCTTGTCACCACTTAGATGTGTCCTCAGAACAGGATCTCTCATTGGAAATTGTTCTCATTGTGTATAACTTCCCTCTCTTTCTCCCAGTTAATGTGCTTAGTACCTATGTAATTTAAAAGTGACTGAGTTCTTACATATACTATATTACGTGTTTTGAAACTTATGCATGAAGAGTAAAATTTGCTTCTAATTAACTTACTACATAGTTTATTAGTTGCAAGTGAAGTATTATACTAAAATATTTATGATTTATAAAATTTAAAAACTTAATTTAAAAATGTTAGAATTAATATACATTTAAAATATATATATTTATATCCTGGTTCCTGTTTTCTAGTGCTGTCTTTAAAAAAATTCAGTGCCAAGAAAGTACTAATACTAGACTAATTTCTCCAGTTCTGCTGTTGGAAGATTTGCCTTTTGCTGTGTTTTGAGAGTGGTGGATGTTTGTATTTTTATATTTAATTTCTCTAGTTTTAGATGAACTAAGTTGTGTCTTCATGTGATTTTTCTGAGTTTTGAGATACATTTGTACGATGGTTCCTTCCTGTGTCCTGCAGGACATCTATGACCTGAAGGACCAGATACATGATGTAGAAGGGAGATACATGCAGGGGCTTAAGGAACTGAAGGTACAGGGCTCCTGCTGCAGCCCGTGCATGCTCTGTTGCAGAAGTGTCGGTAATGGTGGCTCCAGCATCCTAGTAACCGCTGCTCATAGCTTTACTAACAGTGTCTGTCCGTCCTTCAAGCATGTGCTTAACCTGCAAAGCACAGTCAAGGGAAGCTTGCAGTCTGGGCTGATGTTTAAATGTTTACTGTGGGTTTTGGGAGGAGGTATTCTGAGCATAAGATATTATAACTCGTACTTTTTTGTTGTTTTGAGACAGGGACTCTGTAGCCCAGGCTGATCCTAAGCTTATGGTTGTCCTGTTCTGGCCTGGCTGCTGGGATTGTAGCTGTATGCTGACACACTCAGCTCCTTACAATCTTTACTACTTGTAAAATATTTGGTTGTCTCTTGGATCTTAACCACACAACATTAGACAAACACACATATTCTAAAGATATTTTTGTTGAGAACTGAACCTTGCAATTCTTCCTAGCATAATCACTACCTGATTCTGTCACCAAGTCCATTCTAGTTAGTGTGGAAGGAGGAAGCATTGCTCTGCCCCTTTGAGAAGAAGGGACGTGAAGCAAGCACACTGATTCTCCTCTTGCCCGTATGTCAGTTAAGAAGGATGACATGTGTTTAGTGTCTTAATGAACTTGGTGCTGGCCAGATGTCTCAGTGAGTAAAGCTGCTTGTTGCCAAGCCTGACATCCTGAGTTGGATCCCTGAAACACACATGGTAGACGTGAACTGACACCTGCAGGTTGTCCTCTGCCTGCCACATGTGTGCCGTGGCATACAGATAATAATAAGTGTAATTTAAACATGTTTTAGAGATCTAATCTTTTAAAAATATATTTTTTATATTATATAATTAATAATTAATAATTTGGAGGCCAATTTATATAACTTTTTATCTGTTCCCAACAAAGATGTTTGCCAGTGTGAATGTGTCAGGGAGACCCTCGGTTGTAAATGGCATTTGATTCTGCCCACGTCCTCTATATTTCAGTTTTAAGTTCAAGCTGGATATGATGAAAAAACTAAAGGGGTTTTGTTTGTTTGTTTAAGCCAAACACCAGCAAGTATCTACAAGAGTAAATGCAAGGCATTCCAAATGTGACTCAGCACATGCCACATAGCAAAAGGTGACTCAGCACATGTCGTGAGTGACAGACACACACACACACACACACACACACACACACACACACACACACACACACACA